AAAAGTAATATATATATCATGTATAAAATAGTCAATTAATTTTTACATTTCGTAAATTATATAAATGCATAAAATTATTTAGGATTATTAATTTTTTTTTTACGTGAAATTATATTTTATTTATTCACAAAAAAAGTAAAAGTTATGAAAAATTTTGAAATTTATTAGTAGATCCCTGTTTCAAATTTTTATAATCTTCAATAATAAATTTCGCATTTACAAATGATTAACCAATATATTTACTGATCATTCAATCTGATCTTAAAATAGAATTCCTCATCCATTCAGCATTTATTGTCTATAAAAAAAAAACTCTCTTGATTTGCATTATGTCATGCCATGCTCTTTGATTTCCTCTGTTTCTTGCAATTTCTTTTTTATTTGTTATGACATTATATATATTTATTTATGACTTATCTCGATTGAAAAAAATTAAAAAAAATTCATAATTTGCTTATTTTTTATAAAAAATTCATTTATTTTTATAATCGACGTGTTTATTTGTTAACTTTATTCGAATTGATGGAATTTTTAGATCAATACACTGAAAAAAACACAGTAATGTTGAATAATTATGAATGTTACTACGTCTGAGACTACATTATCGAAATATTAATAAATATTACATTTCTTTATTTTTCACGAGATTTTAATAAAATTTTTGCGATACATCTTAAATGTATTAAACATATTAATTTATTGTAATACATCGGTTGGTTGAAAAATATTGTTTTAAACAATGGTACATAAATTTTAGATAATTTAATACCATGAATTTGTAACATTCTTTTATATAACATGGATTTATAATACATATAACTTTCAGATATAATAATAATAATATTTGTAAATCTTGTGCGTTAAAATATTTCGTAAGAGATACGATTTCAATGAAGAAAAGCTAACCTAATTTCGCTGTATGTAAATATGTGTTTTAATATAGCAATCAAACGAGATATATTTATAATTGAATTAATTCAACTTTAGTAAAACTGGTTTTCTAAAAATTTTAAAAGAAAAAATAAAAAAGAGAAATGATTGAATATAGAAATGAAAAAAAAAAATATGTATAAGAAAAATAAAAAAAATAAAGTTATGAATATATTTTAAATATATATATGAAGAAATTATAGAAAATTGATATCACTGAAGTTGCAATCTATAATATGAATTATTCTGTCTTCATGATATCACGGGTCACGATAAAATTAACATTTTTTTTTCTTACGCACATACATTTCTAATTATAGTTAATAATAATGTCATGTTTTCATTGTTAAATACAATAATATAATATTATATTTATTTTCTTATATATACAAGATTAAGATACTTCAGATTCATTTATTTAAAACTAAAAAAAATGACTCAACATTTATGTAATAATCAAATTATTATTATAATATCAGGTATTACGAAATATTCATTAATTATATAATCAAATATACTATAGTCGATATATATCGGTAACGGTACAACCAAGCAAATTTTTTTACATAAATAAATAAAATAATATAATATAAATTATTTTATCATTTAATAAATCTGTATAATTATAATTATTATAACTATCATATTCATTCAACATCATTTTTTTTTAAATCAAGATGACAATTAAAAAATTTTATTCTATATGTTTTTACTTAATAATTGTACTATAATTTACTAAATGTAATATGTTACGCGTATATTTGCATTCTAATCAATGACGTGAAATCTTATTCTGTAATATCATATTATCAATGCAATTTACAATTATTCTATAATACTGACATAATTTTCCTCGGTCGAGAAGCGACAAAGT